CTTCTTGGTTCTTGTGGATTTCTTGTGAGGTAGCAGGGGAGGGAGCCCCTTATTTTATAAAGAGGAGACTGAGATGAAGGGAGGGGAAGGGAAGACTGAGCTGGGGCCTGCTGACTCCATCACACCTGGTCTGAGGCACAGGAGCCTCTCGGATACAGGAAACCCAGCTAGCCTTGGAAACAGGACCAGCGGGGGACCAAGAAGGAAGGCCTGGATTCCAGAAAGCGTTGGCAGTGGGATAGCTGCTCATTCTGTCCTCCTGGGAGAAGAGGGGCACAGGCACCCAGAGTGCCATTGGGAGCCTGGCAAAATTTGTAGCAGCAGAATGAACATGTCCCAGGAGTTTCCTATACACCCTGTAGGCTGGGTCAGCGCAAAAGGGGGAAATGGGTGATTCAGCACCAGAGGGGCAATTGAGTGGAGGCTTTGCTAGAAGTCAATTCCTTAGTGAGAGGGGGTGGGCGTGGGTTCAAGGATTTGCCCTCGGAGAGGTGGGTGCTCTAGGCGCAGGGGACACTGCACTGGCCCCGCTGCAGGGCAGGGCTGTGGGTGGGCTGCATCCCCCTTCATCTGAAAGTGCTTAAAGTGTTCCACAGGCCCAGCAAGCAGGCTAGGCACACAAAACCCTCAGACACACACACAGGTTGGACGGAGAGGATATGGCTGCTTTCCAGAACGGCACAACAAACTGCTGTTCATCCTTAAAAAAAACATGCTGACCCAGGCAAAGAAAAAGGGAGTAGGAGGAAAACCTTCGGGCCAAATCAGACAGCCAGACACCTTTCTCACTGCAGGCTGGCCAGCAGGAGGCAGAGGGAGGGCTTCTGAGGAGGATGAGCAGGGGAAGCGCTGGAGCAGCCTCTGGGCTTTGGGTTCCATTCCCTGGGCAGTGAGGGAGCCCTCCAAGCAAGGAAGGGAGCAGCACAGAAGGATGCTGGCTGGCTCTGGAAATCCAGCTTCTGGTGCCACTGTCACTTGCTGCTGTGTACCGTGAGCAAGTGACTTCATTTCTCTGTGCATCAGTGTCTTCCTTGACCCTGACCTGTCTCCCAGGATTAGTGGTGACAGTGTGGTGACAGTGTTGGATGAATGGGAAAGGCAGTGCTCACATGAGGCTGGTCATGCCAGCTTGGACATCACTGTGTCTGGATCTCAGTTTCCCCAGTCTGCCAGCAGTCAAGAAATACTTATTGAGCACCTACTATGTGCTAACTTAAGACTGTGGGCCTAGAAGTCAAAGTGACCTGGGTTTGAATCTCATCTCCACCCCTTCTCAGCGGTGTGATCTGACATATGTTCTTCAGATTCAGCGAGCCACAGTTGACTCACCTATAAAATGAAGCTAGTACTAGAACCCACATCGCTGGGTGGCTGGGTGGATTAGATGAGATGATCTATTTCAAACATGTAACACAGGCTGTCCGTAAAATCTAACACTTATTTGAACCGTAGTGGTTGTCAGGAGCTAGGGATACAGCGTTAACAAGACAAGTGGTCCCTGCCTTCGTGGAGCTGACAGCCTGCAGGATGGCACTAAACAAATGATTACCCAAAGAAGTATTTCCTCATGGGTAAAATAACTGGCTTGATCTAGATGTAGACTTTGCTCCCCCTCTGCCCCAGATCCTTGCTCTGCAGGGATTATTCGAGTTGACTGGGGTCTGTCCCGCCAGGGTCTGCCACCCTGAGGCATGGTCCCCTGGGGCTGCCGGGTCTCTGTGCCAGAGGCGAGGAGACTCACCTGCTTGCCTTCTCTAGGGTTGCACATCTGCAGTGTGACGGGGGATCCGGGAGAGGACATCAAGGTGGAGGTGGCAGCCAGGCACTTCCCCTGCTGCTGGATGAGGTGGTCACTGAACAGCCAGGCCTGCAAGGCAGGGAGCAGAAAGGCCAAGTCAAAAGTACAGCGATGGATGGAGAGACGGGTAGGTAGGGGATGAAGCAAACACATGGCATGTTTTTGTAAGATTTCTATGAATAATTATAGGAGCTAGGGTGGGTGTATGGGTATTCACTATATAATTCTTCATATTTTTCTGTATGTTTGAATTTTTTGATAATAAAATATTGAGGTGGGGGAGCTCAGCTGGAGCTGGCCAGAGGGCAATCACGGCTGTACCCAGGGACTGTGGGAGATGGGAGAGAATTACAAGACTTGGAACCAGGGCAGCTGGGAGCTGGTCCTCACTGGGGTCTCCATGACCTGCTTTAGTTTTGATGTGGGTGCAACACTCATGTGTGCACGGGAGTCTTGGACATTGCCTTTCACATGAGCCAAGCCCAGCTGCATCTCAGGAGAGAACTGGGTACTATCTGGGCAGCACTTCTCCCTCGGAAAGGACAAAGCAAGTGGTGCACATAGGATACCCAAGTGACAGGCATATTGAAATGCGTAGGATACAAATGCGTGGGAGCAGAGTATAGGGGCCCCTGGCAAAGTGGGTTTGTGTAAGGTGTAGGCAGAGGAGCAGAATAAGCAGGGGGGAGTCCTTTAACCCACTCCGAGCAATGCCCCCAGCTCTCTCTCACTCCCATTCCTACCCGAGGTTCTAAGCAGCTAACCTGGGCAGACTGGGGGTTCTTGGCAGACCCTCTGCAGATCCCCATTCCAAGCAGGAAGTCACCAGCTGTGTTCTGGCCCTGAGATTCTAAGCAGTTCATCCCCTGCTTAATGATGCCAGGGAGTGCTTCCTTCACAGGGACCCTGAGAGAGAAGGCAGCAGTTAGGCTTGTCCTCTGCCCCATCAGGCTTACCTACACCCTCTCCCAGACAGCAGTGTCCCATCAGCTCTGGGGGTGCCAAGGTCTCCGTGGGAAGGGGCCTAGGAGCAGCCTGGCCAGCAAAAGGAGGTCAGTAGGGTTGGACGAGGAGCAGGAGTGGCTTCCGGGAAGACTGGGCGTTGGTTCCAGGGGTTCTTCCAAGGGATCTGGGAGTCCCTGGGACTGCCCTGGAGGCCGGGCCTGAGACATAGAGGATGGGGGAGCCATGGGGGGAGCTCAGGCCAGAAAAACAGAGCCCTTCAGTCCAGAAGGAGGAAAGCCTCAGGAGAACATGGGGCCAAAATGTAGGCTCAATAACAACAAAACGACAGGGAAGGGGGCGCTTTGAAGAGGCAAATTAAACACAAATATGAAAATGTGTTTAATCTCAGTAATGGTTAAAGAACTACATATCAGTCACCAATGTGTATTTACCATGTATGTATATTTGGACACACAAACACACACACTTAATTTAATGACAATGCCCAGTGTTGGCAACAGCTGTGAGATTGAATCTTCTCACATCTTCCTGGCAAAAGCATAAATTAATAACAGCCTCTCAGGAGGGCAATGTGGTATTATCTATCAAAGCCCTTAGAAACACACACACCTTTGACCAACATTGCCATTTCTAGGAATCTATCCTACAGAAATCATTATAAATGTTGTAAAAGATATTCACCTCAGAGTAGTTAATTATATGCTTACACACACACTCTCTCTCTTTCTCTCTCTCTCTCTCTTTCTCTCTCTCTCTCTCCAACACCTTATGGGTAATAAACCTGAGGAAGCTGCTGGCCCCAGCTGATGCAGGCTTGCATACCTGAGTTCAGATTATGTTCATCCTTAGATTAAGGACTCACCAGGCCTGGGAGTTATGGGGAAGCAGGAGGGGTTACAGTCTAGCTATTGCTTCTCTGCCTCCTGTTACCTCTTTTGGGGAGAGAATCTGGGCTTGGGGGTTGGGCCATTATAATATTTTTGGCATTCTTTGATGTGAACATCTGCAGGATCTAGACCAAACCAGGTCTTCCTTTCTCAGGGCTGGCTAGAAGCCGCGAAGTTCCAGAACTGATCTGCTCCCAAGAGGCTCAGAGAGCCCCTTTCAATTCCTCTCCCACGCCCCTAGCAGCAGCCTGTGCCTCTCCAGACTCCTTTGGGATGCCATGCAGCTCTCTAGCAGAGGTGGCAAACCGCTGGCTGCCAGGCTGAATCTGGCCCCCAGACACCATCTGACCTGCATAGCGTGGTGGCTGTGGCTTTTAATTAGTTGGCAATATTGAATGATTTGAAGGTTACACAGAAACCTTCAAATCTGAATCTAGCTTCCCTTGAAAAAACTGGAAGATCAGGCCACACTGAGCTTTTCCAGCATGGCACTAATCCACCATGGTGAGTAGCAGCTGCCCCCTCTGGGTGGGGCTTTACATCCCAGCTTGCCAAAGTCCCAACAGCTCTCTATGGTCTCATCCATACCCATTTGACTTATTTACATCACCTGCCTGACCACTGTAAGAATCTGAGTTCGCAACTCCCGCCATGTGCAAGCATCTTGGAGGGAAGGAGCTCCACACTCTCAGCCTCATCCAGGAGAAATGTGTTACATCTCCCTTCTCTATAGAGACAAGATGGGTACTGAGGCCTCTTTGACGGTTATGGGGAATATCCTGCTCAGGGAGGAGTATGGGGGGATACAGCAGGAGGGCCAGGGGTTGTTCCAGACCCTGCTACTCCCCTGTTGCTTAGGGAGTTGTGCAAGCTGATCAGCTTTCAGAGGTGAGGTGAACACTGTCCAAGGTGGCAATGCCCAGTGATGCTTACGGAAGAAACCTTGGGCTTGGGGAGCAATCTCAGAACCAGATGCAGCTCCTAAGCTGTGGTAGCAGCTCCTGGAGCAGCTTGGGATGGCAGTCATCACCACCCTTCCCCAGCTCCCCGGCAGTGCCAGGCTAAGCTGTCCTGTTTGTAGGCAGCCTTCTAAAGTCTGCATCCAATTCCTTCTCTATGGGTCTCATCTATGTACGCAGGCTGCCATTATACCCATTCCCCAAGACACCACTTTCTGTTAGAAAATTGACAGGATATACTGGTTTTGTTAGAAGAAGAATGCTTACTGCCATTTGCTTGGAATTACTGTCATGAACGTGCAATGTCTACGAAGTGACTGGCACCCTCACAAACATAGTGTGCTTGTGCAATGCACAGCCTGAACAACTGTTCCTGACAGTCCTAATGCAAGTAATAAATTAGCAGTTGTTGAGGCCAGCTGCAGAGCTCTGACCTCGAGAAGGGGCAGAGCTGTGCCAGGCCTAGGAGAGCAAAAGCTTCTTCTTTCAGCCTCCTCAGTCTCCCCACTGACTGTTTCCAAGTGTGGGCAACTATTTAGGGACCCCCAGTTTGGAGGGAAGTTGGTATCATTCAGACCTATGGGTGCCCTTTCTAATCAACAAATTGATCCACTCCTGGCCCCTTATCCTGGGAACTGGGGGTGAGTAATCCAGATAGGAATGAGATCTGGGGTTTCCATCTGAGCCACAAAATATTATTTTAACTTTCACACAGTGGAAGAAGAAACAGAAGATGGCTTCTGCTCCTCATCAGCATGGCTGGTTCATCCACTTTCTTGCCTTGTGATGGAACCAGGTTTCTAGTAGTTATGAGACACTTCTTCCCCTGGGTCCTTGAGGTGCCATCAGACCCTGTGGCAGGGCACTGTGGTTGGAAAGGAGGGGCATTCCCAGACCTCCCCACCTCCTCCCACAGGCTGCCCAGCTCCTGCCCTAGGCCTGGAACTCGCGGGCTTCACCCAAATGTTGTATGAACATTGACAGAGTGTAAAGAAGTGACTGATCTTTTTTCTTCAGGGTCTCAGAAATGATGCATCTGAATGAACTCTGTCCCCTAGAAGTGACCACTTCGGGAAGTTGCATTTTCATAAATTAATATTCTTCCCATCACAGTTAGTGTCCAGGTAGCCAGGGTTATCTAGGCCATTGACTTTTTTCCAGTGACACTGCCGTTGCTCACATTGTTCTAGAATTTCTCGGAAATTGCTCCCGGAGTCAGTTTAATCTCCTTCCTGTAGAGTCATGCTGTATTTGGGACCTGGGATTATATTATCTGGGTTAATCATCTAGCTTATTCACCACACTTGGCTACAACTTAATGGTGGCTGTTGGCCAAAAATCAAACCTGTTCTCAAAGGACAAAGATTTGCCTCATTCAAGGATATGCAAGCTCTGAGGGGTGGAGTGTTCTGGAAAGCCACAGCAGCATCCTTGAGAGAAAGCTGGCAGCCGTGGGAAACCTGTTCCCCAAGGTGACAGCTATAGAGGGAGCATGCGGCTTTCAGACACGATTGACGATTGACGCATACTGACTGTGCGATTTATTCAGTTACAAATATTTACTGAGTGCCCATTGGACAGGCACTGTTCCAGGAGCTGGAGATAAAGCAGTGAGCAAATAAATCAAAGCCTCTACCCTCATGCAACTTACAGGCAAGTTCAGGGAGATACAACACCATTAATTGGCCAGATAATGCCAAATGATAATAACGGCTACAAGGAGCATGGAGGAGAGGAGGCTGGGGGAGGAGGTGGAGCTGGAAACTCAGAGTGTTCAGGGGACAGTCTCTCGGGAAGGGGACATTTGAGTCCAGACCTGAGGAAGGTGAGGAAATGAACCACGTGGATGTAACCGAGACGCTGAAAAGGTCATCATAGCTTATTGGCCATAGTCTGTTGAGAACGCACACAACCTCCTAGGTAACTACAGCCCGAGTGCATACATCATTTACATTTTGTTTTCTCATCTGCCAGAGCAAACATTTCCCGTGTTTTCTTCACAGCTTCTATGATTATAATATTAATGGGTGCATAATATTTGTTTAGATCGACATATGGTGATTCACTGAAGCCAGCCCACCCATTGTTGATTCTTTCTTTTTTTCTTTTCTTTTCTTTCCTTCCTTTCTTTCCTTCTTTTCTTTCTTCTCCCTTTTTTCTTTTCATTCTCTTTTTCTTTCTTTCTCTCTCTTTCTTTCTTCTTTCTCTCTTTCTTCCTTTTTCCTTTCCCTCTCCCTCTCCTCCGTTCCCCTCTCCTCTGTTCCCCTCTCCTCCATTCCCCTCTCCTCCCCTCCCCTCTCCTCCCCTCCCCTCTCCTCCCCTCCCCTCTCCTCCCCTTCCCTTCTCTCTCTGACACTTAGGCTAGAGTGCAGTGGCATAATCAAGGCTCACTGCGGCCCCTACCTTTTGGGCTCAAGTGATCCTCCCACTCACAGGTGTGTGCCATCACACCCAGCTAATTCTTTTATTTTTAGTAGAGACAAGGTCTCTACTAAACAGACCAGCCTGTTGCCCAGGCTGGTCTCAAACTCCTGGACTCAAGCAATCCTCCTGCCTTGGCCTCCCAAAGTGCTGGACTTACAGGCATAACCCACTGTGCCTGGCTGTTTCTCATTTTTTCACGGCTGCTGTTGAGCTACTAGTCAACAGCTGCTGCTTTGGTTGCTTTATTTCCTCAGGATAAACTCCCAGAAGGGAAAGAACAGGGTTAAAGGGGATGAATGTCTCTGCAGCCTTTCTTGTGTAACACGGTGTTGTTTCCTAAGGGAATAATGTCCATTTCTAGGTCTGGGACCATTAAAAAATTGGTTCCTAGCCCACCTAATTTATAACTCCCAGTAGTTATAAATTTATAACTGCCCTCTTAGTTCCCCAAGAACCTTCACATGAAGGTAAAACCCGGCAGCCGGAAAGAGCCAGAGCATCGGTGTTGAGGGCATCTAAGGGTGGGGTGGGCCCAGACCGCTGGCCCCAAGCCCGGGGGATGCACAAGACGAGGGCTGCACTCACGTGAGCTCCGGGTAGACGTTCTCCAGGTACCAGCGGAAGGACTTGCAGTTCATCTTCTTCCTCTGCTCTATCCGCGAAGCCACGCTGTAGGAGGAGGCAGGGCTCGGGCTTTGGCCTGCCATGTGGAAGGCAACCCCAGGGAGGATGCCAGAGGCCCCTCCCCCAGCCCCAGGAGTCAGCCCCTTCTTCCCACCTATCTCAGACAAGCAAGGACGAGGAGACTTCCAGCCTGCCATGTCCAGCCCTGGCCACTTGTCTGATGTCATTCTTTGACCTGCAAGTTCAACCCAGGTCTCCTGGCTATTCCTCACTCCTCAAATTCCTGCCTGGAGCTCGCCTTTCAGGGTGAACACAGACCATACAGGACCATGCCTTTCTCTCGGCTTCTCGCTCCTTGAGACCTCGGTTAGCAGACAATGAGCTGGTCTTTTTTTTTTCCCTTTCTTTCTTTTTTTAAGATGGAGTCTCTCTCTGTCACCCAGGCTAGAATGCATGATCTCGGCTCACTGCAACCTCCGTCTCCCAGGTTCAAGCAATTCTCCTGCCTCAGCCTCCCGAGTAGCTGGGATTACAGGGATTTAGTAGGGACGGGGTTTCACCAGATTGGCCAGGCTGGTCTCGAACTCCTGACCTCATGATCCACCTGCCTCGGCCTCCCAAAGTGCTGGGATTACAGGTATGAGCCACGATGCCCGGCCGAACTGATCTTTATCTTTGCAGAGTTAACGAGAAGTACTAGAGAAAGGTCTAACAACAGGAAGAGCAAGCTTCAAACATCTTTCAGGCAAATAAAACCATTAGATGTGTCTGTGGGACACCGCCATCCTCACCTTCCTCAGCTACACAAACCACAATGGCCACTGGTTGACCACCCTCGTCATCAGCTATCTGAGCCTCAGTTTCCTCTACGTTAAACTGGGGATACGACCACTCATCCCAGAAGGTTTTTGTGAGAATCAAGTGAATTAAGAGGTCATGAAGCACTTAGCACAGGTTAGGTGCTAAGTAAATGTTAGCTCCTCATTACAAGAAATATTTAGTGACATAACTTTTTTTTCAAAACGGGGGATAGATATGAATAAATAGGGAAAAGATTCATTGATGATCATTCATAGAGTTTTCAAACTTTTCTGACCACAAGCTTAAGTAGGAGATAAATATTTTACATTGTAATCTAATACGCCCTCAGTATCTGTGAGTTCTGCATCCATGGATTCAACCAACCTTGGATAAAAAATAATCAGGAAAACATTCCCGGCCAGGCGCAGTGGCCCATGCCTGTAATCCCAGTACTTTGGGAGGCCAAGGTAGGCAGATTGCTTGAGGTCAGGAATTTGAGACCAGCCTGGCCAACATGGTGAAACACGATCTCTACTAAAAACACAACAAATCAGCCGGGCATGGTGGCACACACCTGTAATTCCCAGCTACTCATGAGGCTGAGGCAGGAGAATCACTTGAACCCAGGAGGCAGAGGTTGCAGTGAGCCTAGAGTGCCACTGTGCTCCAGCCTGGGTGACAGAGAGAGACTCCATCTGAAAAAAAAAAATTCCACAAGGTTCCAAAGCCAAACTTGAATTCCCCATGCATCTAGTACTACATTGAATCCATGCAAATGAAGTGATGTGTAGGCATTGTATTAGGTATTATAAGTAATCTAGAGATGATTTAAAGTATTCAGGAGGTTGTGCATAGGGTATGCAAATACTACACTATTTTATATGAGGGACTTGAGCATCTCTAGATTTTGGTATCCATGGGGGTCCTGGAACCAATCCCCTGCGGATGCAGAGGGGCAGCTGTCCATGTGTAGGTACATGCGTGCACACACACACACACTCACACCCACAACTGAGATGAGAGTTTCAGAAGACAATACTAACCCTTAACTGCAATCAACTCTTATTTTCTATTCTGCTCTGTACTAATCTAATCTATAGTGTTCTACTTCTCTCTCTCCTTTTAAATGCTGGTCACGACCCACTAAATTGATTGCACAACACATCTGCATTTTGAAAATGCTTAACTAGACTGTAGTCATAACAGTCCATGACAGGAAAATAGGCTAACAGGTCTCAATTTTGAATAGGACCAGGAGGCAGAACCCTAAATGCTTTCTGCAGACAGCCCCTTCCTAAGCACTCCCACGGATGCCCGTTTGCCTGCAGGTAGCTATGGACAGGCAACTCTTTTTCATAAACGAGCCTTCTCTCCCCGTGAGATTTCATGCTCCTCAAAGCTTAAGGTCTTGTCTCGGCATTGCATTCCCTCCCAGGGCCCAAGGAGGCCCGTTGGAGTGGGAGCTCAGTGGCTGGGGAGGTTGTGAGCAGTTCACCGGCATACACACCACTTCATATTTTGCTGGGGTTGTGCTAATGTGGGTAGAGGGAGTCAGACAGTGGAGCTGGAGGGGCCCACCTGCCAAAGGCCTTCCCAATGGCTGAAGGCCGGGCCTCATAATAGTATTGCTTATATTCATCCATCCACACTTCTGCAGTGCGCTTGGTATTCCTAAAAGGAGAGGAAAAAGCAAAATAAGGTCACCAGGGAAGCAACAGGGTTAGCGGTCAGGGTCAACATTAATTGATCCATGGATACAGAGTGATGAGAATCTCAGGAGCAAGGCGATACTTGGATGGTATAGATTAGCACAACCCTTTTGGAAGACAGCCTGTCAATACCCATTGACTTTGTAGGTATGCAGCTAGACTTGGGCAGCTGCTGCTCTAAACCCTGTGCAAATAAGCGTGAGCTCAACAAGGTGAAGAACCGTCCACATGTAGAGAGTATGCTCCCGACAAGTCTCCCATCCTCCCCTGCCAAGCTCCTCAGGACAGCAGACCATGGAGGTCTTCCAGGACATTACCCACTCTCCCTTGAGACTAGTACACCCTGTAGCTGGGGATAGGGATGGACAGATGGTTGATCAAGTCAGGGATGGGACACTGGCAACCATGACCAGCACTCAGGGCTCAGTGAGTGGAGAGCATGGCTTAGTTGGGGATTTGGCCAATTTTCCGAGACTCTCATGGACAAAGGAAGTCAAGACAATAGAGACCTGGTGACAACTCCCACAACTTCATCCCTCCACCCCTGAAGGTACCTGGAATCCCAGGATGTTACCAGAGAGGGCAAATGCAGAAACTGAGGCCCAAGAAGTGAGGTGGCTGCCCAGTCACATAGCCATAACTGGCAGGGCTAGAGGCTTGGGCCTTGGTGTCCTACTCCTTCCTTGGTGACCTACCTGATGTAGGTGAGGGCGTTACCCTCCGGGAAGTTGTAAGGGTGCCGTTTCCTGAAGACATGGCCCACCCGGCTGCAGGGGACGATCTCCAAACTGCCACCGCACATCCACACCCTGAAGGAGAGCTCTGCAGGAGACGGCAGCAGTCAGGAGGAGGAAGGGGCTCCTTGGCAAGGGAAGGTGTGAAGGGATTGGTTTCCCTTCCCTCTGGGGTCTCACTGGAGGTACATGCTGGGGTCAGGGCTCCTGGGTCTGTTCAAATGGAGTGCCCACACTCCTTGCACACGTCCTTGCTGCCCACTCTACGTGTGTATGTGCATACATGCAGGTGCACAGGCACACACACACGGATACACATGCTCCCTGTGGCCCAGTCCGGGTAAAGCAGTGGAAAAAGCTTGAAGGAACACCCAGAACCTAAGTAGTAGGGAAACAACCAAATAGCAGCATCATTTCCAGGCTCTGTCTAGAAAGCCCCAGCCAGACATGAGCTAAAGGCAAACACATCTGCTCATCAGCCAGCTCTGGGCTCCCGCAAAGTCGGAAAACCAGCCACCAACCAAACCACAGGCTGCTCCAGCTGGCACCCCTTGGACTGGCCCCAGCCTCCCTCTTGGCCCAGTTGGTCTCCTTGTACAGGCTTTCACTGGCCCTCTTGAGCCACACTTCATTTTGACAGTGGCAGTGGAGCTGAACCAGCTTTTGTGGATGACTGTGGTCCCCAGCGGTGTCAGGAGAGCCGTGGCCATCCTGCTACCCAGAAGGGGACCTCAAAAGTTACCACTCTGAGCTCCATTCACCAGTTGCCATTTATGGTAAGGACCCACCTTGGCAGCTGGCTGAATCTCACATAATCTCTTTTATTTCCTGCTTTTCTTCATATTAGCCCCATCGTCTCTTCCCACTCCTCAGGTGGCTCTAAGGACACTCATGGTCTCCAGTCAGGCCTGGGGACCCTCACCTGGTGTAGCTGGCCAGGACCCTCCCAGTGACTAGCAAAGGGGAGAGTGGAGAAAGCAGGACTAAAGCCACCCTCTGGCCCCCTGCCTGTGTGTACCAAGCGATGTCCAGATGTGTT